GTTCATAAAAAATAGACGAATCTAGGAAAAATATAAAACAAATAATTCGTAAAAAATAAATTGACCAAAATACTTCCAAAACTTTTCAGGGATATTTTGATCAATTGGTTCATGTAAAATATTTTTTCAATATTTATCATAGATTTGTCTATTTTTGATGAACATACACGCCAAATTTCAGGCCATTCTGATATGTAGAAAAAAAATGAAATACTACCGGACAACCGTGACCATGCAATGAACTTTGGACGATGATGATGGTAGGCTAAATCACTGTTCATTTTTTCCTATAGGCGTTGAGAAGACTTTTCCTATAACTTAATACATGAATCTAATAATCAGATAAAGGGATAAACAAATGATCAATAACAGCGGGGAGGTTTTTGTTTTGTTTTTGCTACTTGAATATATTGAGTCAAGGCTTTTTTTTTCGCATCTGGATATGTTATTTTGTCAATTATTTCTATGATTAATTTTTCTTCCTCGGAAAGCATGTTGCAAAAACAATTATTATCTTCCTCAGAATCAGAACTACTGAATATTAGACTTTCATCTTCAATTTCTCCGACAAGTGGTTCAGACTCAATATTAGATGAACTATCATCAGAATCTTCATCTATTTGTAAAATTTGATACAACTGGTTTTTTATATTTTTTCTTATTTGTAAGGCATTAATCTTCTTTTTTATTCGACATTTATTCTTATAGTGCCCTACCTTTCCACAGTTATAACATACATGTATTTTTCTTTTGCCCCTTAATTTTTTAAAATTAGTTTCAAATTTTTTAGTAAATTTCTTTGTACTATTATATTTATGACTACACTTGTATCTTTTATTTTTATTTTTCCTTTTATCAGTTTTATTGGACATGGGTAGAGTATTATATCCGAACTGTTCGCATAAATCACTCAATTCTTTCTTGCCCGTCATCCATTGTTTATCCAGTTGCCTCTTTAATTTCAAGTCAGTACATAAGGCAAGTCCTTCCGCTCATATTTTAGCGTATAATTCTCCCAATGTATACAAGGAATATGGAATTATACCTCCATGTTTATTTTTCAATCTATTTTTGACTTTCTCGGCAAAAAGATATGGTAATCCGGCGATAAGCTTCTCTTTCCAGTGATCAGCTCTACTGTATTCTCTGGAAAGGAGTCGGGAAAAGAATGCGTCTTCATACCACTTATAATGTGACAATGTCGGACACTTAAGATTAGACAGGAGGTCTTCAGATCTGGCATCTAGCATGGCAGTACTCCCAACAAAATGGTGAGTTATTGTATATATGAGAGTATTTACCGCATCGCTTTCACTAATAGGAACGTCTTGTCCATATTCATTTTTTACTGTCCACTGTCTTGTGGCGGTTAATATTTCTCTTTTGGCAGTTTCATCCATATGAAAATCCCACCATCCTCTTAACCAGCCGGTAAACCCACACACAATAGCCTTAGCTATTTCTTGGTCATGATTACCGCTTATTTACAGGCTGGTTAAGAGGATGGTGGGATTTTCATATGGATGAAACTGGCCAAAAGAGAAATATTAACCGCCACAAGACAATGGACAGTAAAAAATGAATATGGACAAGACGTTCCTAATAGTGAAAGCGATGCAGTAAATACTCTCATATATACAATAACTCTCCATTTTGTTGGGAGTACTGCCCTGTTAGATGCCAGATCTGAAGACCTCCTGTCTAATCTTAGGTGTCCGACATTGTCACATTATAAGTGGTATAGAGACGTATTCTTTTCCCGGCTCCTTTCCAGAGAAGACAGTAGAGCTGATCACTAGAAAGAGAAGTTTATGGTCGGATTATCATATCTTTTTGCCGCGAAAGTAAAAAATAGATTGAAAAATAAACATGGAGGTATAATTCTATATTCCTTATATACATTGGGAAAATTATTAGCTGAAATATGTGCGGAAGGACTTGCCATATGTACTGACTTGAAGTTAAAGAGGCAACTGGATAAACAAAGGATGACGGGCAAGAAAGAATTGGGTGATTTCTGCGAACAATTAGGAT